CACGCGGGGCTCATTTGGTTACTGTTCCCCAACGCCCAGTTTCTCTTTCAAACGATCTCCCTCAGCCACCTCTTCACACAGCTGAGGTCACTATCTGCAGTATGGCAGCCACACCTGGCAGGATCCTAGCACCCACCACCCTTGGCCGAAGCCTGCCCAAGACCACTGCGCATGGAGCCACTCTGCTCCTGCTCCTTCCCCCACCCTCCTCTTTCAGTAGCTGCACCTGAGGGTACTTTTCCATTGACATTTCAACCAGGAGGTTTATCCATTTGCATGAAGTTAACTCTGCTGAGCCTTTATTAAGGGAACATCTTTTATTTTTGTGCCTACAGATGTAATATTATTGAGATTTCAAAAGCTTAGTCACAAGTTATTCTATAATTAGATTTTCTGTTCCTCCGGTTCTGGGTTGTATGGTGAGCTTGGACCCTGGTGGACAGGTTCCTATAGATCATGGAGTTGGGTGGGCTCCCACCAGATCAGTGCTTTCGGTGCCCCTGTGTCCTACACAGGGTCCCAGTTCCATGGAGGGATCCTTAAACGCCCTGCGGTAACAACATGCAGGCCACCTTTGTGGGAGGGACTTGAGTCAGCTCCTTGCCTGCCTCTGCTTCCTAGAGAGCGTCTCTGGAGTTAAAAGTCGGTGGCCTTGGAGTCAGTCAGATGAGCTCTTCATGGAACTGGGCCTCAGCTTCTTCCTCCCTCCAAGAGTTGTGAGGATTAAATGAGATAACACACACGGCACATAGAACAATGCCCGGGACAGTCTGCTCGATACATAAAAACTTAAAAAAAACCCACTTTTGAATGCAAAGGTTTTTTAACACACAAGGATGGCCTTTTAAGTCTCCACAGTCTCCTTGATAGTATACACAGAATCATGTATGTGTAAGCCACTTGTTCCTGGGCCCGGCCTCAGGCGCAGCTGGCCCCTCCACAGCGGCTCCTCAGCGCCCAAGGGACGAGTTTAGGCTGTTTAGGCTGCGTGCTGGCAGGGCCAGGATTGTTCTCTTTATATTTTTGCCAGAGAATCTCTGGGCTGGAGCCCTAGGAGTGGGAAGGCTGGGTCAGGGGTACATGCGTATGCAACCCCACTGGGTACTGTCGCAGCCCCTCTGCAGAGGCCGCACCCCTCGCATGCCCAGCAGCGCACAGCACCCGTTCGTCCACAGCCTCTCCAGCAGACTGTGGCCAGACTCTGAGATTTGTGCCAATCTGCTAAACAAGAAATGGCATTTCAGGGTTCTCATTTCACACACCATGAGCATGGCTGCGCATCTCTGACATGTGCAGAAGGCCACGTGCGCTCCTCAGTGCCTTTCTTATTGTTAGGAGCTATATGTTGGGGGTCCTAACCGCTGTAAAACAAGTTACAGATATATCCTCCCAGCTTGTAATTTGCTTTTACTTTGAATTGGTGGTGTGTTTTTTCTATTAATAGAGGATTTTGTTTTTAATCCGTATGTAGTCAAAAGCATCCACCTTTTGCCTTAGTGTATCTGGATTTTGGATCGGGGAAGTTTTCCTCTTTGGAATTCCCTCTTTCCATTTTCTTCTAGCTCTTGGGCGCTTTCACCCCTGCAGTGACTCCAGCACCACTTACTGACAGGCCCCCCTTTCCCCTGCTCACTGCCAGTGCCGCGGGTCGAGCACAGGAATTTCCACATGCAGCTGGACCTACTTCTGGATCTTTCAACGTCTCGTTGGTCCATGTGTTCAAGGGTTAGTTCTCCCCACAACTCAAGCTGCTCGTTTTCAGGGTGTGGTCCTCGCTATTTTGGCTGGTTCTTCATGATCTTTACAGTAAGAATAGCACCTAGTGAAATGCCCATGAAATGTTAAGGGAACTAGTAGGCAACAGAACCACACAGTACACACACACATATTTTCCCCCTTAGAATAAACTATTGGAAGGGAAAAGATCCACAATGTGTGTGAGGTTATCTCATGGCAGTATGGTACGAGTAGCATCATCCTGCTACTAGTGCAAACACTGATGAAAGAACTTCCCAACCGCCACAAGGCTGCCTCTTCCTCCTTCACCATCCCCGTGTCACCGGGAGATCCTCTCCAAGAGGCGGCGCTTTACAGCAAGGTGGGCTGGGGATACGGCCTTGCCAGGAGAGGTGCCTAAGGGCCCAGGGAGACACCAAGGCGTCTCACCCAGCTCCTACTCGGCCCAGCACTGTCCAACGGGACTATTTTTGATGGTGGAAATGTTTCATATCTTGCTGTCCAATAGAATAGCCACTGCACATGTGGATATCAAGTATTTGAAATGAGGCTAGTGCGACTCAGGAACTGAGTTTTTAATTTATTTTTAACTAATTTGAATAGCCACATGAGGTTAGTGGTTACTATATGGGATAGTGCATCTTTGGCTGATTCCCAGCCCAGCCATTCCCCTTCCTAGAACTGGAAGGAAAGATCCTGCCTGTGCAAGCAAACCGAGAAGTCAGGCAGGCAAGAACAGCTTATGAGAGGGCTGAGCAGGAAGCTGAGGGTGGGCAGAGGGGCCAGCGCTGCAGGAGGGGGCCAGCCTGAGGCAGCCCCACCCCACCCCATCCAGTGGCCATCACAATGACAGCCAGCCCAGTATCACAATACCACAGGCAGGAGGTGAGCAGTGACCTGGCAGGCGGTTTCCTCCAGGGGCAGGTCTCTTTGTCTACAGACCTACTTACAGCAACCCAGGTGGCAGAGGACCGGTTCCTGGGAATAGAAAGGCACCCAGCAGCTGAGCAGCCTCAAGCTGGAGACCCACAGGAAGCAGCCAGGCATGGGGGTGGGGGGCCTGCTCCTCCCCAGGTCTCAGGTGCCGCAGGGCCCAGCGGCCTGGCTGCCAGGGGCTGGAATACTCTGTAAGCACCAAGCAGCTGCTCACCTTCTTCCAGCAATTTGGTTCTTCTACGTCTTCTACCTCCAGGACTACTCCTGAGGCGCCCTCCATCCCACCTGCTTCAGGCTGGAGAGCGACAGCAGAGCATGAGTGAGTGTGGCCCAGCCGCTGTGAGGACAGACAGAGGTCAAGGGCTGGGGCCTCTGGCCCACAGAGAGGAAGGCCAGGACACAGGTGAGGTCCCACTCTGCACCTAGGGGATGAGCACCAGTGCCCTGACTCATAAAGCCTGGGGACACAGCCCAGCCTCCTGCTCTGGGAGGCCCAGGGCTGCACTCCCCAACAGGCTTGCGTTGACAAAACAATACAGGAGAGGAGGCGACAAGTGTCCCACAGAACCTGCAGTGGGCAAAGGAGCTGTGTCACGTCGAGACTTTGCAGCCCTGACTCTCTCAGAGTCAGGGGAGCCCTGTGTTTGCTGCTTTGTGCCTGGCTCTGGGTTCTAGTGAGAAATTAACTGTCTCTGAATCTAGCTTGCAAGAGAAATGTTATTCCCATTTTCTAGGGGAGAGAAATTGAGCCCAGCAGTGCTTAGTGTTTCTGGCAAGGGTGGTGCAACCACCACTTCCTTCTGGAGGCTCTTTAAAATGAGGTAAGAATGGGCAAATCCCCAAGGACGTAGTGTGGCTCTACCTGGCCTGAGAATAGGCACTGTCCAGCCCAGTGGCTCCCATGCCTAATTTCCCAGCAGGCCCCTGCAGGGAAGGAGGCAGCCTCTGCCCTCATCTGGGCATGCTTTATGCTGACCCCAGGTGGGGCTTCCTCTGGCTCTCAGGGGTGGGGTAAACAGGGCAATTCTAGAGAGGGCTCCCTGAGGCTATCAATCTGCTGGTGGGAACTAAACTGTTACCCTGAAACCAGGACAGGCTGAAGATAAAACCTCCCTACCCCACCCCCAGTGATTCTGCTACAAATGCTGGTGCTTGCGTGGCCATAGTGACTCAGAGGCTGAGCATCAATCTAGGATCCAGGAGATCTCGGTTTGATTCCCAGTCAGGGCACATGCCCGGGCTTCGGGCTCAACTGCCAGTAGGGGGCGTGCAGGAGGCAGCTGATCAATGACTCATCATTAATGTTTCTCTCTCCCCTTCTCCCTTCCTCTCTCTGAAATCAATAAAGATGTATTTTTTTTTAAAGATGCTGGGCTTTTCCTAGAACACAAGCATGCAAGGAAGGGAAGGCAAGAATCGGGACTGGCCCAGACATTACAGCCAAGGGCACACGGGAGCCTCATCTGCTCGCCAGTGCAGACCCTAAAGTCTCACATGAGGCTGAGTCAAGGGAAGCACCCCCGGGAGGCACAGGGAAGGATGCAGCCACCTTTGGGACATACAAATCCCCCCTGGAACTCTTTAAAAGGCAGATTCCCAAACCCCAACCTCAGATCTCTAAATTCCTGGATCTGGAGTACAGTCTGAGAAGCTGAATTTTTCATAAAATTCAGTGTAAGGACTGGAGTTCTCTCTGCCCCATGTGCAGAGCATGAAAACCAGAGAGAATGCCAGCCTCCATCCCTGAGGGTCCCCCTCAGGAGCAGGACCGCAGGCCTATGGGAAGGGGAGGTAGCTCAGAGCCCTGGGTGGCCAGAGGGGCCCCGTGGCCTGTCCACAGGAGCCTGGGATGGAATCTCAAGGATAAAATATGAAGCCTCTCTGCACTGCTCCTTCCTAGACATGCTCAGAAGAGAGAAAAGCACGGTGCAGTTTTTCACTGACGGTCCTCTAGTGACTAGAATCTATTCTGTATAGTAAACAATTGTAAGAATACATATTTACTCTCTGGGACTCCATAAAACTAAATTTTGAATGGAAAAAAATGCAGCTTACAAACAAGTAGGTTTCCTGCAATGGGCCCGAGGCAGAAAAGGCGCCTTCCCCTCAGAGGGCAGCAGCTCTGCTGTCACACAGCAAAGTGTGTGCTGGCACCCAGCCCCAAGGATGCTCAACCGCCTCCCCACCCACACACACCCCTACAAACCCTCACACAGCACGCATCTGACCGAATTACAGCCTGACTGCTTATGTCACGGCTGCCCTGTGACAATTCCACTTTGTATGGGTGCAGGAGGGGGACAGGAGTATGACACAGGCAGACAATCATCAGGAGGAGGCCGACAGCAGACGTCAACCACCGCTTTATTAAGGCTCTACATAGTCTGCTAGTTGGGGGCTGAGTCATTCACTCCACAGACCCCCGTGATGGTCAGTCCACTTTTGGGTGACACTGAAGGTGGAAGCTCTCTCTGAGACCCCGAGCCACAGTCTGCTGTGCCCACTCACATCCACCCTGCCGGATGGGGGAGGCACACATGTCGGGGGGGGCACAGGGGGGCAAATAACTTGGAGGCTCTCAGCAGGGTGGGCTGGCTATAGCGGGCCCTGGGCTCTGGTAGAAGGAGGGGTGGCAGGGAGGTACAGGAGAGCAGGGGCATCCCTCCGAGGCCCAGTATGGCTCTGTTACCCTATTGCCACTTGAGCAGGAGTGGAGTGCCCCCTCCCACACCCCTCATTCCCTGGCTGTGCTACACTGTGGGAGGCAATAAAGGGAAAGCCCTTGGAAAAGGAAAGCCCCTCAGCGCCTGAGGGGCTTTGATCCCCACTTCTGCTCCTCCCAACAACAGGTCTTCTCGGGTTGAGGCCAGTCACTCAGAAGTGGACCCGCAGCACGTCCTGGCTGGCGAATGACTGCTGGCAGGCTGCACATGTCATGGGCAGGGAGCGCTGCTTCTCACCCAGGCAGGGCCGGCACAGGAGATGACCACAGGGAAGCTGGTACACAGGCTCCTTTTTGAAGTAGGGAGAAAATACTCTTTTGCAGGAGGCACACTCGGGGCCCAGGACGCTCCCAGGCTGCTCTGGTAAATCAGGGAGGAAAACAGGCCAGGGTTAGGGAAAGCTGCCCCTAGCCCAAGCTCCATCCTGGAGGCAGGGCACATGCCTGGAGTGAGATGAGAAGCTGCCCCATGCTCTAACCCTGCAGCAGCCTGGCTGCATCCCTCCCTAGGCCACCTCTGGCTGGTCTGAGAATAGAGGTACCAGGGAGCTAGGGAACCTGAAGGCCTCCTCAAGATCATCAAATCTTGGTGATCCCATAAATGCTCAAAAAAAGCTGGCTTCTGAGGGCAGCCAGGCAGCACTGGGCCCTTCCTCCCAGTCTCCCAACAAGATGCACTCTCCCCTGGGACAAGCTCCCAAGGCCAGAACAAGGCACAAGCTCACCCTGACAAATTAACCTTGATAAATTACAAGAAAGGTGAGATACGACAAGAAAAGGAAAAAGCAGAAAATGGTCTGGTATCAGGGTTGAGAGGGTCAAGCAGGTAGAGAAATCACTAGAGGGGCAGGGTTGAGGTCTGTCTGCAGCAGACCTGCCAGCTGAGCCTGAGGCCTGCTTTTCTTTAGCCCTGTAGCCTGGCAGCTCCCCTCCCCAACCGTCGATCCCCCTACCTGTGCTGCTGGCTTTCCCTCCCTCCACACTTCCCAAAGCACCTCCTGAATGAGAGCCACGGTGGGGAGATCCTGCCACCACCCCCTGCCCTGCCCCAGGCTGCACCTGTGCTTCCTTCTCCCCTGGCCCTTGCCTAAGGAGGCTGCTTTCTCTCTTCCAGTCCATGCCCCTCTGGAGAGGGCAAGGACAGCCTCTTGGGAAAGAGCCCTAAGAAGGAAAAGGGGCCGGCCATGCAGAGTGAACAAGACAGCAAGCACAAGAATGCTGCCCATTAAAGAAAGGAGACAGGAGTGTGACACGTGGCAGTGCAGCTCCAGATGAGACAGTAGGGGGAGGGCAGGGGCTGGAGCATGCAGGACCTCACAGGCAGCAGGAGTTTCAATTTTATTCCAAGTTCAATGGAATGCGATGGAGGAATTCTAAGCAGTGAAGGACCATGATCTAGTTTCCATGACAAAGTATCTCTGGCTCCTGTGAGGATGATGGGCTATGGTAAGGAAAGTGTGGCTGTTAGGAAGCAGCAGGGGCTGCTACAGGAGTCTGGGGAGTGCAGCAGGAAGGGCAGCGGAGCAGAAGGCCACTCTGAGATCCACTCTGGAATGTGACCAAGATCTGATGCTGAACAGAATGTCAGTGTGAGGACACTGAAGGACAACTAAGGATGACCTGCACATTACAGGCCTGACCAAAGGGTAGAAGATGCTGCTCTTTGCCCTTGATGGTGTGACAGGGGGTGGGAGTGGGGGACACTTTGGAGCAGTTCTAAGTTAAAACATTCACTCAAGATATCCATGAGTTTTCCACGTGGAGGCACCAAGCAGCTGTGAGGGAGAGAGGGGTCTGAGTTCCAGGAAAGGTCAAAGCTACAGGTGAACACGGGCAGTCACTGGCCAAGTGGGCTCTCACTTGGGTAACAAAGAGAAGAGGGTCCAGGACCAGAGTATTGAAGAGAAGAGAGTCGGCAATGGAAACTGAAGAGGGACCATTGAAAATGGGGAGAAAGTGTAACATCTAGAAGGCCGAGNCCAGGACCAGAGTATTGAAGAGAAGAGAGTCGGCAATGGAAACTGAAGAGGGACCATTGAAAATGGGGAGAAAGTGTAACATCTAGAAGGCCAAGAGAAGGAGGGCTGCTCAGCCACGTCAGGCATTGCTCAGAGGATCAGTGACTATTGTATTTATGGTTATGGAAATGTGGTCATTTAGACAAGACATGTTTTGGGGAATGGTCAGGATGGAAACAAAGAGAAGGAAGTGAGGACAACAAGAGGAGGGCCGGGCTCTGGGCAGGAGGAGGAAGTGTGCGCCCATCATCAGCCCGCCAGGCTCCATCTTGGAGAGGGTACCCTGCCTTCCAGTCAGCTTCTCTCAATCTGTATCCTAATCGACTCCATCATCTAATGTCCCAAGTTCATTTTAGGCAAAAATTGGCTCAATAAGCTACCACTATTCTTTTCCAAGACTAAGAAAATATTACTAGAAAGGGATGAAGATGACATACTCAACCCCAAACTTCGCACTTAGATACAAAATAACCTGAGGAAGAGGGAAAAACAAAAGTCCTCAGGACAGAACAATTTACATTATATCTTACTTAAAAAACACACAAGCCCGGGCAGCGTGGTTGAGCGTCGACCCATGAACCAGGAGGTCACGGTTTCAATTCCCGGTCAGGGCACATGCCCAGAGTGCGGGCTCGATCCCCAGTAGGGGGCACGCAGGAGGCAGCTGATCAATGACTCTCATCATTGATGTTTCTCTCTCTCTCCCCCTCTCCCTTCCTCTCTCTGAAATCAATAAAGACATACTTTAAAAAGGAAGAGAGGGAGGGAGGGAAGGAGCCTTTCTTGTGAAGAGTCAGACTTCACAGGCAGCTCCTCAGCTCCCCCTGGAAAAGGAAAGAGACCAGGTTCTCCCCCTAGGCTTGGGTGTTGGAGCTAAGGAGCTGGGCATGAAGGTCCAGAGCACCCCAGAGGCATGGCCCAGCATCCCATCCAAGGGCTCCAAGGAGGTGGATGGGACCCCTGTTACCCGGGCCAGTCCCTGCTCTCCAGGAAGTGCTGGTCCCTCTTGTGCCGAGGTGCTGGAGCTGTCCCCTGGTCAACCGTGCCGTGAAGGAGGGCATAGAGCCAAGGGTTGATGTCAAAGCAATTTCCAGGCTTTGCGACAGCTTCTGCTCATGGGACACTGGCCCTGTAGAGAGATGCACAGACAACAATATCCAGAGAAAGATTCAGCAAAAGAAAAGACCAAAACACAAAGTCCACTGGGGACTACAAAAACAGTACTTCCAACTTTAAAGGGACACAAATGTAAAAAAAGTCCTCCCCAATGTCTACTAGTGGATTATGATGACAGAATACCAGAGTTAACGCCTGGGGACCCTGGCAGTTGCTACACACCCCACATGGCTTTCTGGGTTTTGGGGCTCTGCACTAGCTTTCCTCCTCCTGGACAACTGCCAGGCAGGCAGGGGCCACCTTGTGGCTCACCTGCAGAACTGCACCCTACTTTCTGAAGGCCTCCCTGCTGGCCAGGAAATGACAGCCCCAGGCCCTGCTCTCTGTCCCGACCTCCTCCCCAGCAACCTTTATCTGCTCTTTCCATCTCCTTCCTTCTGGAGACCCCACCGCACTGCAGGGTTGCTGGCCTGCACTCTCTCCTGTTGGGTAAAGCAAAGCAGTTATTACTGAGTGGAACAATGAAGACCTCACTCTGCCCACTCCACTATGAAGAAGCCTTCACTGTGTGGTCTGCAGAAAGCCAAGCAATGAGCTCAGGGTAAAGGCAAGGGGTGGAGGGGACACCTGCCTGGTCCACTAAACTGCCCAAAGTGAGGAGTGAAGTATTTTTGTCTACAGTTTATAGGACACAGGACATCAGCTCGGACCCCTTCAAGGACCACTGGTCAGCACGGTCCTGTGTTACCAACAAATCTGTCAAGGCCACACCAGTGGAGACCTCCACAGACATCTAGGTCTAAAAACCTTTCTCCTGGTCTCGCCCATAACACTTCAGATGCTTCCAGGAGTTTCTGGGAGTCATGTTAACTATAATTTACACTCAAAACCAGAGAAGACACAGATGTAACCTTTAAGCCTCCTACCTGCACAGGCCTTTTAGAGTAAAAGAAGAAATTAAAAGAATAAACTCTAAACAGACAAAGTTTCATAAAGAAATAGAAAAGACTGTCAAAGAGTTAGCTCCCGGTAGCCACAGGGAATGATGCCAACGTGTAAATTATGGACCTTGGGCACTGTGTTCAGTGGTTAGAGCACTGGCCTCTGCACCCAAGGGTCTCGGGTTCGATTCCCGGTCAAGGACACACACCTGGGTTGCAGGTTTGATCTCTGGCTGGTTGGGGCCCGTGCGGGAGGCAACCAGTAGACACATCTTTCTCACATTGACGTTTCTGGAGGTTTTTTCTCTCTCCCCTCCACTCTCCCTCCCTCCCTTTCACTCTCTAAAATCAAGGGGAAAAATATCCTCAGGTGAGGATTAACAAAGAGTAAATGATGCTAATATTATTAAATTGTTTCAGAGTTTAGAAAAAGAAAACTTCTAATTTGTCTTATGAAGCAAAGAAATCATCCATATGCAACCTGACCAAATATGGTGCACGTGCATGTGCACAGGCATAGGCACAGGCACACACACACTACAGTACAGTCTCACTAATAAATGCAAAATCCTAAATAAAACACTAGCAAACACAATCAAGCAGCCCATTAAAGGAAGCGTGACCAAATGGAGTTTACTCCAGGAATGCAGCAATGGTTCAATATTAAGAAGTCTATTAATGTACTTTCTCACATTAAAAGATCTAAGGACGAAAAATCATAGTTTCATTTCCACTGATTCTGAAAAGGCATTAGATAAAATTCAACCACCAGTCTCAGATAAACATAGTGAATAAGACAGGAATAAATGGTGTGGAAGAGTATGTGAAATGGGTCCTAATCAACCCCACCTCTTACTACTCGTGCCCTTGGGTACCCCCTCCCTTGAGAGTAGGCTGGACTTTAAGTTACTTGTTGTTTGTTTTAAATATATCTTTATTGATTTCAGGGAGAGAAAGGGAGAGGGAGCGAGACAGAAGCATCAATGATGAGAGAGTCATTGATCGGCTGCCTCCTGCACGCCCCCTACCAGGGATCATGCCCGCAACCTGGGCATGTGCCCTGACCTGGAATCGAATTTCGATCTCCTGGATCCTAGGTCGATGCTCAACCACTGAGCCACACCAACCAAGGCTAGTGACTTGTTTTTCACAAAATACAGCAAAAGTGAAGGGATGTCATTTCCATGATTAGATTATACAAGACCAACTTCCACTGTGTTTGCATACTCCTGTGTACACAGCTACCATGTTGTGTGCTGCCCTTGAGAGGCCCACGTGGCAAGGAATTGAGTATAGTCTCCAATCACCAGCCAACAAAGAAGTGAAGCCTCCAGTGCAACAATTCAACATGGAACTGAATCCTGCAACAACCACGTAAGTGAGCTTGGATGTGAATCCTTCCCTAGCCAAGCCTGGGGATGACTGCAGCCCCACCAACATTTTGACAGCAGCCTTGGAAGAGCCTGAAGCAGATGATCCAGCCAAGCAACACCTAGATTCCTGACTCGAGAAGCTATGAAGTATTGAATGTGTGGTGCTTTAAGCCAGTAACTTTCGGGGTAATTTAAGCTGGCAAAGCAAAAACAAAGGGCAATAGTGCCACGTATCACCTGGGAGGAGTAAAGATTACAACAGGCATGGACACAGGATGGTGGATTACCTGTTGAGCAGTCCATGTGTGTCAGACCAAGCTCACTGGCAGCTTTCATTTTCTTAGCAGTGTGCTCTGAGGTAGTAGGCGAGGCCAGAAGGCTTGTGGTAGAAAAACAGGAAGCATTTACACCAAGCCTGCTGTCTGGGGCATGCTCAGCCTGCTCCATCTTCCTTTTCCGAGATGGCAGAGCAATGGAGGAAGGGGTCAATGCCAATGCAGTCTGTGTTCTCCCAAGCAGGTGGCAGCCAGGGATGGAATGCTGGAGCAGGAAATGGTCGATCCGGGCCTTCAGGGTGGGGTGAGGCAGGGGCTGCGAGTGTGGAGTAAAGGCTACCCCTGTGAAAGGGTCACTGGGCACTCGGCCCCATGTGGCTTCGCTGCGGTTACACTTCTCCAGCGTGCTCTGGTCGATGACCTTGCCTGAGGGCAGCAGCATGGGGCAAGGCATGATTTCCAAGGTGATGGGATCCAGGAACTCCTCAGGCACATCCTGAATTACCTCAGCCAGCTTCTGCAGGCTGGAGGGGGCCTGCTGGCCCTCAGACTGGCCCCCAGGATCACAGTCACTCTCCATGGGCAAGGCTGGCGCCTGCAGAGCCAAGTCCTGAGGGAGGCTCTCTGAGGCAACCAGCAGGACACTATCTATCACCTCCTGAGGGCAGGTTTTGGCGGGCTGACCCCATACTTCCAACCGTTTGATGCAAGGGATGCCACTGCCTGTCACATGGGTGATACAGATCTTGAGATGGGCCACGTGGCTAAGGGAAAGAGGTCCTTTATTCCAGAGCTCCTGGGCCACAACAGCAGGGGAGGGGAGTGTGGCTTCCATCGGGTCAAATGGTGGCCTGGCCTTGAAGCCCCTGTGGCTAAACACCACTTGGTTTTGGTTTTTCAACAAGACTTTGCCTACCATGGTGAACGCCTCCTTGTCTGGGATGGACAGCTCGGCTGGGCACAGAGTCTGGCACTCAGGGGTATTCCAAGATGTCTTGCTGGGTAAGGCAGACGTGTACATTTCCAGGCCAGTGACATTTTGGCCTCCCCCAGCTGTGAGGTCTATGTTAATCCTACAGATTTCCACGTTGAAGGGAAAGGAAACTGTCACATAGACTGGTGGCTTAATAAAATACTCTGTCCTAAAACCATGACTTCTCTTTGTGAGGTCTTCAGAGATAAGATTTTCTACTTCGTAGCCATCAGCTGATATCTAGATTTAATGACAAATATGAGACAAACTGACTTGAGATCCAAATGAAGACAACTAGTTTTCAAGAACTTGCTGCTTCTACAAAAATGCTTTAAAGAAAATCTAAGTTCCTAATTTAAAATTTCCTCTAGTACCTCAAATTCTCCTGGGTTGTTTTGCAGGCATCCAAGATCAGGTCAAAAGCTAAGGGCAATGGTGTCCCCAAGTACTGTCCATTCTTAAAAAATATGGGCAACAAAACTCTGCCCAATCCAACCAAAATCCCTTCAAAATAACATTTCTGTGAAAAGAGGGCAGATACATTGATGGGTTTTTCTTTCAGAAAATGAAAACATACATATTTAAGGGGGGGAAAAGATGTTCATTAAAGTTCTCAATTTTGTATTTGGACTACCCATGACAAAAAGTTCCCTAGGAAGGCATAACAAATAAGCTTCTTATAAATCTATGAATGATGGAACTTGGTTTTTAAAAAAAGTGTGCACAGGGACAAAGATCTCAAAAAATGATGGGAAATTTAAAACAGTGAATGTGCAGAAGATGAGACTGTAAATAACCTTCCCCTTTTAATATTTCTAATACTTGTTATAACCAATGGAAATTTTACGATGTCTTTGTCCAAAGGAATCAGCTTAATCTCGGAACCTAAAACAGTATGCTGAGTACAGAAACTCCAAGTTAGGGGAGGGTTCAATTCTCCCCTTAGAGCTCCCCTTCTCTCCTGCTCTGAGCTGTGGAAACACCCTTCTTGTACAAAAGGGGAGGCGGTTTAACTCATATAAAGAACAAGGAATACAAACATCAAATACAAATCGCTGTTTCTAGCATTTGAAGCTATAAGGACTGGGGGTGGGGGAGGAAGAGTATTTCTACCTTTACTGACTCTGAGTGAAATTAAAGTTATTATCGGAGGGAAAAGTAAACTGAATGCAACCATCCACAGAGTGAGTCGCAGCCCGCCTTGCGCGGAAGCTGTCGAAACCGAGAGGTGTGGCCTGGTCCAATGTTATCTAAAGGCACCTGGTGGAGTCCAAAACGAGGGTGAAAGCACATCAAGCCTGACTTAAGTTCGCTATACACAGCAGGAAGTGGGGAAAACATGAAAAACAGATATAGTGTGTTGTTTATGTGTATATACTTGTTTTCTTTACCTTGTTGCAATAAATTCTTGGTCTGAACTGCGGGAGGCAAAGATTTATTACCATCTTTGTGGCTGAAAGGACAGCTTCCAAGCATCAGAAACAGCCTTAAATAAAAAATAAAACTTGGTATTAGACAAGTTAAGATTCAATTCTAAACTTTTAGGAGTTGATTCTTAAGAGAAGAGAATCAAACAGGGCAACAACAAAAACTTTCATACTCGCACCTCTCATGGCCTATACTCACGATCTTTTTATCTTACATGTGATGCGGGGGGGAAATCAGCCACTGAAAAATTGTGGAGGAGACTTCTACTGCAGACTGAGCAGGATGGCAAAGACTGCTGGTTCTTGGGCTGGCAGCTGTTCTAAAGACCCAGTGGAGGCAAGAGCCTGTCAGCTCTGCAAGAAAAGTAAAAATCAACATTACTGAGAAATAGAAAATCTTAGGGTTGGAAAGCACCTTAATAGGACAGCTAATCCAAATAGTCATTTTAATGACCAATGTCCAGGGTGGGGGAAACAGGTAAAGGTGATCAAAAGGTACAAACATCTAATCATAAAAGAAATAAATTCTAAAGATATGATGTATAATATAGTGACTACAGTAAACAATACTACACTGTATATTTAAAACTGCCAAGAGAGTAGATCTTAAAAGTTCTCATCACCAGAAAAAAACATGTAAAGTGATGGATGTTAACTAATTTATTACAGTAGTCATTTTGCAGTATATAAATAAATAATGTTGTACATCTTAAACTTTCACAATGTTATATGTCAATTACAGTGCAATAAAGTTGGAAGAAAAAAATAACCAATGTCCAATAGCCTTTCATACTCTCTCTAGAGATGTAGGGAAGCCACTAAGAAAATCCCTCCCAGTGGCAAACTTGTCCAAAGGATCTGAACTCCTTGGGTGAGGCTAGGCAACTATTCCATGCTTTTCCATCTGGCGAACAAGACCATGAAAAACAGGGACAGGGCCACCCTTTGGGATCTTTGCTGTCATGATCAGTAGGTGCCCCTTGCAGGAGCCAGGCATGTTGGGTGTCCTGTAACATTTTAGCGGGCAATTTTTGCACAGTGAAGATCTGCCATGGGACTTTTAAGTATTTATTTACCTCAGCCTAGTCCCTAACACAGTTTTACCTATAAATACAAAGTCAATTTAACATGGTTTTAATATATGCTAAATTTTCTAGGAAGGGAATTTCCATGTAAGTCATAGGAAGATTGCACTTGGTTTTGTCCAGATCTTTACCAAAAGGTGTTTATCATATCTGAAAACCACATACATCACCGAGAGTAATGCTAATACACTTGATAGTCTGTCTACATTCTAGATGATTCTACATCTTGGTAAAAGCTTCTGATTACTTCTTTATGCCTTCCAGTATGGTCATACCCAAACATTTATACATGAGAATAAATTTTATTGTCACAAAAATTCCTTCTTTAAACTGCAGAGGTATCTCCTTTTACATTCATGATATTGATAATATGTGTCTTCTATTTTTTTCCTAAGTGTTGCTAGAGGTCTATCAATTTTATTAAACTTTTCAAAAAAATTTCTCCTTTATAATACTATTACAGTATTTGCGTGTGTGTGTACATATATATATTCATATACACATTTCTGCATATATGAATATACAGGGTGGGGCAAAAGTAGGTTTACAGTTGTGAGTACTCAAAAGTTTATTCTTGTTTTATTATTTATTATTGTATTTTCCATGTGAGCAACTATAAACCTACTTTTGCCCCACCCTGTATGTGTGTGTATATACATTGCCACAAGGAGTTCTCTATTGCCTTGATGGGAAGAGCTTTGGTAAGAGAAAAGAAACTTTGCTATCATAGAAAAATGCTGTGCCTGGCCGGTGTGGCTCAGCAGTTGAGCACTGACCTATGATCCAGGAAATCATAGTTTGATTCCCGGTCAGGGCACATGACCAGGTTGCGGGCTTGATCCCTAGCATGGGGCATGCAGGAGGCGGCTAATCAATGACTCTCATCATTCATGTTTCTCTCTCTCTCTCCCCCTCTTCCTTTCTCTCTCTGAAATCAATAAAAACATATTTTTTTAAAAAGTGCTGTGAGGTGGTTACTATTAGTAAGATAAAGGACCACTAGTTTGCAATCATCTCTATCCCCACAGCACATCTTAGGTCTTTTTTCTTTCAGGGAGAAATAACAAACTCTGGCAGAGGTAACAATGCCAATTCCTTGAAGTATGGATTTGATTTCCTCATGGGAGGCACCGATTTCACCAACATTTACATCATTCCTATCTCCTTGCTATTTTCTTAGACATTTCACAATGTGGTCTTTTTGTTGTTTTAAAATATTTTCTTAAGATTTTATTTTTTTAATTTTTTTAGAGAGAGAGGGAGAGGGAGAGAAACACTGATGTGAAAGTAGAACATTGATGAGCTGCCTCCTGCATGCCCCCCACAGCCCACAACCTGGGCATGTGCCCTGACCAGGAATTGAACCAGCAACCTTTCAGTGCATGCAACAATACACAGCCAACTGAGCCACACTGGCCAGGGCACAATGTAGTCTTTTAACTTTAATTTATTCTACATGTCACGAAATTAATTTCTCTGAGAACCTAAATGCCAAGACCAGAACAAGCTGGGCAGGATCTTCTTAGAGCCATGACAAAGAGCTTTCCTATGAGTATAAAGTCAAATGGAAAAGTCTTTAAAATATATCTGAGTATCCAACTCAGAGGTAAATGGTAGCATGAGATGGAGTTGCCCAGATGCAACTACCCTCAGGATACCTGCCCTTTGCCTTTAACCTCTGGCATAGAGATCTGCTTCTGCGGTTGGACTTGAGAGATGACCAGGATGAGAGGGACAAGGCGGAACAAAGGGCCTTCAAACTTCTGTTATCTCATAATTTTTTATCTTTTTTTTTTTAAAGTATATATTGATTTCAGAGAGAGGAAAGGAGGGAGAGAGAGAGAGATAGAAACATCAGTGATGGGAGAGTCATTGATCGGCTGTCTAGCCCGCAACCCGGACATGTGCCCTGACCAGGAATCGAAACCCGATCTCCTGGATCCTAGGTCGATGCTCAACCTCTGAGCCACGCCCGGCCGGGCTCTCATAATTTTTTAAAATTCCACCTCAGATACCTGAAAGGAAAGAATCTGATTGTCCCACCAATCAATGCAATAATTTAAAAGGTCTTATCTACACTGTGTCTCAGCAAACACAGGGCTCACTCTTCTAGTGAGTCATCAGACAAGGACCCTCTAATAGTAAAAACACACCACTGGCCAGGGAGGCACATCTACAAAATGGCTTAGAGGAGACTATCAGGGATTTGATTAGATTTAAATCTTACCAAGGGCTTAGCCCTAAAGTAGGTACTAATATCCTTATTTTGCAGATGAAGAAACTGAGGCTCAAAGAAAAGTAAAGCTGGGACTCAAATTCCAAACCTTCCCAAACTACCCTGGTTACTGTCTACTTGGTCACCATTTACCTTGAAGGATTTGCCAGGAAGTTATATGGATACCTTACAACCTTTTTTTTTTTTTTTTGCAAATCAATTCTTCCAAACTTAGTATTAATGTGGCTATGCTCTACTGTGTAGAAATTTGGGTACCTTGACTACCCTTTCCAACATGTTTTGGATCAAACCTCAAATTGTTTTTTGAGGAAAATCTTTAGGTAAGCTAGCCCTCTAGCAACTCACCTCATCAGAGGTTAATTCCATTAGTCAACTATTAAAAAATATGAACCTATATTTCACGGAAACAGCCTACTTGTTCTACACAGCACTTGCCAAAATCTAATTTTAGAGAATATTTACAGAGACTGTTCAGTTCATTCACATTAAATATTTTTTAGTGCCAGCCTAAATGGCACCTCGCGCCTCCTTGCCTGGCCTCCCTGGTGACTGCTGCATTCATATCCCACACCACCATATGACAGACTTCTTAGCAGTGTGGATTCTCAGCTGTAGCAAAAATAAATGTAACACACTGATAAAAATTCAGTGTAGTCAATCTGTGAAGATTCATAGGACACCAGGGTGACACAACACCCCCACTGAGAACCACAAGTTTAGTCTCTAAAACGTATTACTCCATAGAGTTGCCCCTCAGGGTGCACTGAACGATATTCGTGTTGATTCCAGCCATAACCATCACACACGCCTCACTCCACCGAAAATACTCCTTACCAAACTGTTCACTGGTGCTGTGGCCCATTAGCAAGGAATTCAGTAAGAAACAGCTCTATAAAGTTGGGTGCTGTTTGTTTCATTAGGTTATCAAACTGATCATTCTCTACTCGGCAAGTACCTTCTTGTGAAGACCCACGAGAAAACTCTCCTTGGTCTCAGTGCTAGGAACAGCTGCTCCTTCCAGTCAACTCAGTATTTTATGGTATGAATATGAATTATATAATTGATCGTGATCATTTTACTTTGGCTGCTAGAAAGCTCAGAATAAAGTCTGTGGTCTATCCCTCAAATTTGTCTTTGCCTGAATTCTTCACTTATTTTCATGTCATAGTATATATTATGAAAGCTACCTTAAAATAATTTTGGAACAGGATGGGGTACAAATAATAAACCATTCTCCTTTCGGTGGACATTTAGGTTGTTTGCAACTTTATACTATTACAATACTAGGATAAAATCTTAAGTAGATTTTTGTCTTAGTACAATTTTGACTTTTCTTAAGGGGTCCTACATGTTTCTTGTTAAGCTTGCTATTTATGAATAGGATTCTTTTAGCCCATTAATTTTTCTAACGGGTTATTCCTATAAACAGGATATCTGTTCACTTTGGTATCTTCATCACGTGTTCAGTTGGCTCATTGAACTCACTGATTTTAACAGACTTTCAGTTGTTTATTTTGGAGGCTTCCACAATCTCAATGAGAGCCTCTTTCTCAAAATGGAGGTCACAGTTCAATTCCCAGTCAGGGCACATGCCAGGGGTTTTGAGCTAGATCCCCAGTAGGGGGCGTGCAGGAGGCAGCCAATCGACGATTCTCTCTCATCATTGATGTTTCTATCTCTCTCTCTCTCTTCCTTCTCTCTGAAATCAATAAAAATATATATATTTTAAAAAGGGCTAGGTTTAAAACAACTATGCTTTGTATTCTGATTTTCTTTGCATATCGAGTTTTATTATTTTTCTTATCTTACAGACTAATGATCTATACCACATTTTTCTAATTTTAAACCTTACTTTTATTCCTAGGATAGGCTCTGATTGTGACAGGTTTTTCTTTAAATGTTTTTCAAATTGTACTAAATTTGATTGTTCATATTTATTTTTAGATGAGACATTACTGCACATTCACATAACATTCACAAGCCCTGTGCTAGACATAAGCACTATAGAGATAAAAATGAAATGGTCAGGTGGT